CGAGTTAGCCAATAAAAGTGTTAATTACATAGTCATTACTTGGGTGGCGTAGGCTATACACAATGTAATGCCTCTAAAATGGTGATACAACCAGTTACATCAAGCCCTATATAGACGCAAATTTGTGAACCAGTGTCACTATTTACCAGCTTGACGATTGGTTCCTTAACGAAAACTATAGATAAAATCGCCGTAGATAAACGGCTGACGTGTATTTCCAGGACGAGGACACGCAAAACCAGTCAAAGTAACACCAGATAATCAGCACAGGGCAGGCAGTGAACTGTTAGGTGCACTGTGGGCATATGTCAGCGTATGTGCATGGAGTGGAATGGACTTTCTGGTAACTGAGGAGAATACCGTCGATATTTTTTAGTAGTAGGGCATTCATTACTCTTTATTTTATAATCCTTGAAAGAGAGCATAGAATTGCAATAATCATTTGAACTTCAGAGTGAGAGAATCGAACGTTGTTGAAGTTGTAACTCTAATGTAAATAATCTGATACGGGACGTTTGGTTTTTGTTTGTTTGTTTTTGCTTGAAATCTTTTATTTATTTCTTGGAAAAAAGTACTGCTGCTCTTATGTGGTGAGCAGATAAGGATGGCCAATGTTATTTATATTTTTCATCACGTTCAGACCTTGCAGTTTGTATTTGCAATGGACAAGATTTCTCCAGCAGAAGTTCAAAATTGCTAGCGACTTTGTTTCAAACTCACCTTTGATATATTTAAACGATGTTTAGTAATTATTAAAACCTAACAATATTTGCTTAACTTTTTTAACTGGTTACTTACGCTGTCATGTGTATAGAATAGCGAAAATCTTTGGAAGCACTTACACAGAAGTTAAATTAAACATCGGATCGTAACTATTCCTTGTTACTAAGGCCATAGTTATCATTGGTCATGAGAAGTACTACATTTGAAATAGGACCACATCTCCCCTAGACATAATTTTTACCATGGGTGAAATTGTTACTGCCTTGTACTGCCTTATACGCTTGGGGAAACAGAAAAGTATTGTATATAAAATAAGCGAACATTTAAAAAAAATGGAACATGATGAAAAGGTTTATAAAATGTGAAATTTTACGTCGCTATTTTTAGAGTCGATAATTTAACTTAATATACGTATGGACGGCGTTTGCTTGAGTTTAAATTTGTAAGTGATGATTCATTGAGATTATTTCGCTACGCAGCAAAAATTGTCATGGGATAAATTTATTCGCGATTTCCAATATATAAACGCTATTTGTAAAGTGAAAATTTTCCTCTCTGATGAAGAGAATTATAAAAAGTGTTGTCATGAAACTTCAAAACAAACAAACAAAAAAAAAAGAATAAAAGTAAAAAGAAAGTGTGAAACTGTTCCAGTGTGTTCAGTTATTTAACCCGTCTTCTGACCTGTGGGTTGTAGGGTTTATTTCATTCCAGGTATTGCTGGTGACATTGCAAAGTTTGTTTGAAAACTGAGCAATCAAAGGATCCTTTATGGCCTTAGTTTTGCGAAGGAAATCTCCTAACCATACACATAACAAAATATATTGCGATGAATAATCATAGCCATTCTGTCATCACTAAAGGATTATTCACAAATTGTTGCCTTCGTTGTTATCTGTCTGTATGGTCACTTAGGATTGTTACTGTAAATGCGAAAATGCGTTGATTTAATTGGTAGAGGGTTAAAGGACTTTTCAAAACTATATGCAGAATGTCATGTTTAAATATTAAAACGTCTGATTTCCCCCCTGGAATTTTATATAAAAATTTTCCTTCGACAGACCGAAAATCAAGAATCAGAAGTTGCACCTTAAATTCAAGTCTAGTTCCCAGTGACCTCACTTGAGTTCCCTTAATCGTTCGTCGCTCGTTTCATTTGGAGAAAAATGTTTTTCGTCTTATCACATTCTATACTCCTAGCAGTATGCAGGACGCGTGACACATATGAGCTTCGTATTGGGCCTTGCTCACCAAAGAGTCTGTGGCATCAGAGCGCAGTCGTATCTTCGTCAGGGGAAGATTTTCGTATCTCCTCGCTGGTACCTCTTTTTCATCGTATCTCTTTCCCTAATTATCTGAAACCCTCTACAAAGTCAAGGTTTTTGCAAACTTTTCTCTTCGGTAGAAAACTGTTCAAGCTCGACACGTAATTAAAATGCTCGGCTATATCTTAACAAACCAGCAAGCCAACCTTGCTTGAAGTTAAGTCGGCGGCCGGTTTCCACCATTAAGGCAAACTCGCAAACGCCCCATTCCCCTTTCTCTCCAAACTGAATCCGCCTTTTAAGCGTACAGGTCTACTCAATCAATTTTACCGGCCAATTAATCTCCGTAGAGTGGCAAGCGAGGATCCTCTCACTTTTTCCGAGCGCCTTCTTGGGGTCCAATCAGAAATCAGGAATCGGTCCACGTACACACACTCCTTAAGGGTTTATTACAGTCAGGTCATGTTTATGAGCTCACATTGGTCAATTCTGTTTTTAAAGCAAAAATAAACAGTAGCGTGACTAGCGAGTGTTTTTTGGTGGAAATTAACGTTAAAGATTTATTTTTTTATTGAAGTGTATTTTGTGTCTGAGTTTCGCAAACCTTCAATTTGGGGTAGTTTGTTACACAGGTCAAGCTTTTCTCAGAAATAACCTGCCTGTAAATAATTCTTAGAAGCCAGACATCCACAGTCTGTATAACCTGCCTTGATTGGTCGATATTACCAGTGCGATAAACATGGTAATTGATTTTAAAAAAGATTTCCTTGAGGCAACTTCAAGTTGATACCTCTACCTTTGTCTGTTGTACTCAGTCATGGATGTAAAAACCTTGCTTGACAATCTTCATGAAGAAGTATCCTGTTCTGTGTGTATGACCACATTTACTGAACCAAAGATACTGCCGTGTTTGCACACTTTCTGTCTTCACTGCTTGAACGGGATTTTACGAACCAGTGGCCGCCATGATATCATCCCATGTCCTGAATGCCGAAGAGAAGTTCAAGTTCCTAGCAGTGGAAACCTCAAGGATCTGCCAACAAACTTTCGTATCAACAGTTTGCTAGATGTGCTGGCCATCAAAGAATGCCATACTGCTGGAGTGAAATGTGCAAACTGCGACAAAAGTAGCAAACACAGTTCGTACTGTTTTCAGTGCTGTGCGTTCTGGTGTGACGAGTGTATCACTGCGCATAACTTAGTCAAAGCGAATAAAGAGCATCGGGTTCTTGCTCTGAAAGATTTTGAAGACCAAGACATCGAGGACGTGTTAAAGCGGCCGGCATTTTGCCAACAGAAGCATCACGAAAAAGAAGAACTCAAGCTCTTTTGCAAGAACTGTGATGTTGCTATTTGTAATTTGTGTGTTGCAACCATCCATGATGGTCACGCTAAGATTGTTCTAGAAGAAGCAGCAAGTGAACGCAAGATACAAGTCAAGTCTGTGATCGAGAAGCAAAAGAAAACTATTGAACACAAAAAAACCAAAATCGCTGATCTTGAAAGACAGTGTAACCAAATTGAAGCGCGAGGCGATGCAGTGAAACGAGACATCCACAAGTTTGCTGAAAACATGATCGCAGTCATTGAAACAAAGAAGAAGGAAATGTTAAACAAAGCTGAAAAAAAAATCAAAGAATCCCTTGGATGTTTGCGAACTCAACAATGCGAGGTGATACGTCAATTGAAACTGCTGGAAACTACTGTTGAAAAAACTGAAACACTTGTAAAACAATGTACAAATGCCGAGATTACTCAGTTAGATAAGTCACTGAGCACGGTCATACCCGAAGAAGTCAGTGATGTTGGAAAACAAGCCGCAGCTGACCTTGAAGGTCTTCGTCAATTCCTTTTCAAAGAAAACAAAACATTTGTTGATAGTCTTAACTCTGACGGCATCGGCTCATTTCAAACTTTTGTGACTAACACTTGCGCTCATCAGTCAACTACCGAAGGGAAAGGACTCAGTGAAGCGAGTGTTGGACTTGAATCAAACTTTTTATTAACAACAAGAAATGCCGAAGGAGAACAATGTTACAATGAGCGTGACTGTGTAACCGTGGAAATAAAAAATCAGCGAGGCCATGACTGTGCGACGGAAGTACGATTCAAAGATGAGAAAGATGGTAGCTACAAAGTCAGATATTTCCTCAAAGATACAGGAAAATGCCAAGTATCAGTGAAAGTAAATGAAGAACACATTCGTGGCAGTCCATTTCCTATTAAACCGAAACCCAGACAATTCAGACACGTGTTATCTTTTGGACGACGAGGTTCGTGTGCTGAAATGGTAAAAGCTCCATACGGAGTAACAGTGAATGAACGAGATGAAATTGCAGTGACTGATACTGATAACCACAAGGTTCAGGTATTCAGTAGTGATGGAACTTACTTAAGATCTTTTGGTAGGATTGGTGATAAACAGGGAGAGTTAAATTGGCCTGCTGGGATAGCATTTGATAAGAATAGTCGCAGTATAGTTGTAGACAGTGATAATCACCGAGTTCAATTGTTTAATGAGCAGGGTCAGTACCTGAGCCAGTTTGGTGATGAAGGAAATCTTGATCACCAGCTGAGGGATCCTTATGGTGTATCTGTTGACACGAATGGAAATATCATTGTTGCCGATGCGGGCAACAAACTTATAAAAATCTTTTCTCCCAGTGGTCAGTTTTTGTATAAACTTGGTGAAGGTGAAAGTGGACATTTTACTTCTCCTTTTCACTGTATTCAATATGATAAATTTCTTATAGTATCAGACGCTGGTGAACATTGTATCAAAGTGTTTGATATAAACGGCAACTTTTTGTACAAATTTGGAAATCAGGGGAACAGGGACGGGGAGTTTAACGAGCCCCGTTTTTTATCAGTTAACAAAGCAGGACACCTGATGGTCTGTGACACAAAGAATCACAGAGTTCAGGTATTTGAACTGAATGGTAATTTTGTAACAAAGTTTGGAAAACTAGGGAGTTGGCTGGGGGAGTTCGGCTCGCCAACATCTGCAGCAGTTCTTAGTAATGGTAGGATAGTTGTGACTGAATGGTTTAACAGTCGCATTCAGATATTTGAGTAAATGTGGATAATTTATCTACCATCACATTCAGACTACAAATTACTTCTAAAAAACATTCTTTTCACCTAATCTTGAAATCATTTTCCAGATAGGCTTCTTGTTATAGTTTCAGTGAGAAGAACATTTTAGAACTTTGAGTCAGTGGATTCGATTTTGTGCATTGTCTAGTTATCAGTTCACGCTTTAATGTCCCATTTTTTTCTCTTGCTCACGGTAATCCCGAGAAAAGTGTTTTCTTGCCTTGGTTATTTTGCCTAAATGAATGGAAATTAATTAAATGTAGATTAAAATGACACGTTTTGAACTTTTCGGGAGAAGCCATTAGAAAACAATAAGTCAACTGCAAACTGGTTATTGTCATTTTCAATCAAAATCGCTAAGATTTCTTTCACAAATTGTCGTTGTTGCTTCTAATTGTCGTTTTTCCATGAGCTTGAATGGACAACACTTTTACTTTTCTTTTGTTGTTGGCTATTTTCTTTTCTAATGGCTCATCCTTCAGTTCACTCGTTATAAACGAATAATGCTGGTGTATATATCAGTGTAAAGTTACACGGAGCTGCACGTCAAAGTGATGTTGAACCCAAAAATGTTTGCGACGTGATTATTTTATTCATGTAAATCACGCAGTGTTTGCCGGAAAAATTGTAACTGTAAAGAAGCAACGTCATTAAAATCTAAGGTTTTTCTTATGTTTCGATTCGCGTGCAAGAATCCAACCATTGTAATTCTAGTTTGTTAGGGAGGACAAACAAAAGAAATGTAAACAATATGATTGCGTATTCGTTATTGAAAAAGAAACAAAAATTGATTAAAATTTTCATAGAGTAAGGAAAATGTGAATCCGTTCTAGTGTGTTCAATTATTTCAGTAGTATTCAGTACATAACTTTTGATGCCCGCGGAGTGTTGATTTTGATGAGATCTCCAAGGTAGCAGCGAAGTTCAAAGAAAGACTCAGATGTTACTGATCACATTGCAAGCTCGACACATAGGCAAAGGGCTCGGCCATATGTTGAACAAACAGACCACCTTCGCTTAGAGCAGGAGGCCGCTTTGAATTTTCATACGGAAGATGCAGCGATAAGACAATGCTTACCAGTGCCCAATGCTTACTCTTCTCCGACTCACATCAGAAGTGGAAATAGCGAGCGAGGATCTTTACACCTCTGTTGAGTGCTTTGTTGAGTTCAATTCATCATGAGATGCGCGCTGAAATCCACGACTTTAATCGGGTTAAAATCCGTTCCGCAAGAGAATAAACACTTTATATGCTCTTGCCCGTTCTTAAACTGATGTCACCCCCAACTGTTATATTGTTCACAATCTAGGATTTCGCATACACGAGAAGACACTATTTAGTCCTATTTGTAATTACCAGTAACCACGAAGTAACCTCAACCACGGGGTGTGGGGTTAGGAACACCTCAAATGTTTGAGGGTATGGTATGGTTTTTTTGATGTTCGAAGTAAAATTTCTTACATCCTTGTCAGTTACCTTCCCATTGACTTTGTCCGTTACTCTTTTTAAGGTACTAGTTGTTCACTTTTCGCTCTCAATAACTTGTAATCTACAAGTTATGTTTCCCTCTTAGTTTTCCCTCTAAGCTTTTATTTGTATATAGTTTATAAATAATATTGAAATTGTAAGATAGCATATTGTTATTTCATTTTAGCTTTTTTCTCGAAGATATTAGCTCTACAGCTACAGTGAATTTCGAGCTTAAATAAAGTATATGTATGTATGTATGTATGTATGTATGTATGTATGTATGTATGAATGTAATAACATCTCCCCTTTTTACGAATGTTTTATTCAGTTAGTCAGGAGCAGTTCATTGAAGGATTGAATGTCAAAATTGCACAGAATGTTGTCAGAGGTCTATCAGCCTGGAGAAAAATCTTATATGTGACTCGTCTGATATTTGCCCAAGTCACGCGTACTATCGGTCAAAAGTTGATTTTGAATTAGTCTGACCAAAGTCTGACCTCATTCTTGGGTCGTCCTCAATATCTCGTTCGTTTTTTGTTGTGATTTTCAGTTCACTTTTACTGACTGAATTTTGTAGATCTACTCTTGGCCAATTTGATGGCGGGTTGAATATGGCCTTTCCATGGCAAGCGAACTTACAGGGAACAGCTGATTGATACTGTAACTTGTTCTTTTTCCTCAGCCAATCACCTCCAAAAACTGTAAGCAGTACACATTCTCCTTCTCATCCGCTACACACTCCTCAGAGAGCCACCTTTACAGTTAGTTCACCGCAGTCAGCATTCCCAGTCTCCCCACCTTCACCTCTGATACAGGCCAGCCCGCTCTTTCCCCATTGTCATCTCCATCATTTGCAATATCCCCTTCAGTTGAGATCCCAATAAGAAAGCGCACAAGTTCCTCGCAGAGAAATGCATCAAGAGGTCAGCCGTCATCCTCTCCTCTGCCTATTCCACGTACTGGAAGTGTACCCAGACATATATCCTCTAGAACTTCCCCGTCACCCGCTCACAGCGGAGCTAGTTCAGGCATGAACCCTAGAGAGCAGAGAGTTGGCACCCCGTCCTCAAAACCGTTAGTAGGTAAGAGCCTAAATAGTAGCACAAAGGCATTGAAAAGTGGTAGCAGCCGCAAGCAGCAGAGGCAAGAAGCATAGGTTAGCCCCGAAGGATCTTCTATCCCTGAGATGACCGTAAGCCTGCACCAGCAAGCTTTTGCAGGATTTTCTAACACGAATGCTGATAACAGATTGGCACGGGGTGCAGCAGTGGGATTTTCCGAAGAGCTCTCTCCAATATTGAACCTTTGGTCACTCAGCTTCCCAATATTGACAGCTCTGGCTCGTCATTCAAGCTCAGGAATGGGTGTCCCAGTAACAGACCTCTCCGAACTAGGAGCAGACACCAAGCAGATCATACGCGTGGTTAGCTCGCCGGCCATACTAGCGATGGGCCTTCCAAGGAAGGGAGGTCTATTGACATGACTAGGCTTCCAACTTGGGGCTGCACGGGCAGCTCCCGTATTTCGTCGCAATTCAGGTGGTTGAAAGAGTCCACTTGTTTCATCCTCTCCTACCGGACTTCCTACCATACCAGGCTCGCCGAGTAAGACATACCATGGTAAGGAGGCTAGAGATCCCACGATTGAAGGGTCTTTTTACTGTTGGGTCGTGTTCGCCAAAAACTAGCGAGAACATGTTTCTACTCGGGAGGAATTCACCAAACGCGACTAATAATGGACAGAAACCTGCTGTTGTTAGTCAAGGTAAATATTACGTATCAGAGCGCTTAGCTTTTCGATGGAGTGGCATAGAACCAAAACCAAAGTAATTACAACTACCAATCAGAAGTAAGGAAATTGAAAAGCATATTGAAGCAAAACTATTGTAATCTCGAATCACTTTCAGCACTCAATTGAAAGTTGCTCCAACAGGTATACCATCTATATATATATATATACACGAAGACATTCAGGACAACCCTCAGTAAAAGCCTTCAAAGTTCTAGATAACCTTTTAATTTTTTTTTAAGGTCAAAAGAGATTGTTCTTAAGTCATAAGCTGGGTTTTCTCTGCTATTGTTTTGCAATCACAGATTGCAAAACAGAGCGAAACAACATTGTTGTTAACTTAAAATTTTAATTCGTAAAAACCCCAGATGGAGTACACGGAGGGCGTTTGGAAACTCAATTTCGTTTTGTCTCTGACGGATGCCATTCTTGAGGTGATCAGTGCCAGGGGAACACCTTTTACAGTGCTGACAGACTCTGTGGCCATCCGACAAGTACGTATTTTGATGTTGTTTTTTGGCTGCCCTTGGTGATTTGCGTAGTTTAACAGGTTAAAAGTCTCGCATCCGTCTATCAATGTGACGGATGAATTGTTCGATTATTACAAAAATTTTAAATCTTTGTTCTCCTTCGTAACAAATGTCGTAGCTAATGAATAAATACTCTGTTTTTCTCCCTTTCAGAAAGAAGACCTCCTCGCAGACCAGATTGGACTGAAAAGTGACGAGTTAAGGTAACAAATTGGATTTAAATGATATAACTTAATTTGATTAGGTCTTACTAATGATCTATTGGAGGACAGATGCAAAGATGACATCACCATTACCAACATTTTGCATTTTGATTATATAAAACAAATAGATTCCATTTCGCTGTGGGTCTGTAGAGTAATAGATCACAGATGACGTCTAAGTGTGGTAAGAACATCAAGGACACACTCGGCTGCGCCTCGTGTGCCACGTTTTGTTCTTTCTACTCTTTGATATCATCTGTGATCTATTACTGAACTGACCCATAGTAAGATGAAATATATTTGTTAAGGGGAGGATCACTGGAATCGGATTTGCAAATACAGACTTTACCTTGTAGCGAAGTATTTGGTTTTACTTAGATGTGACTTATTAAGGTTCAAACATTTTGTAGGAAAATGGAACAGCTGGTACTGCTCGTGAAAGCTCTACGAGCTCTTAAACTGCCTCTTCTCTTCGCACGAGGAGAAATCAGAGTTGGCCACCTAAAATCCTCCAACGCCGTTAAGAATGGTGAGACAGATAGATGCTCTGAGGCCTTACCCTTTTCTACAGGTGCTTGTAACAAGCCTCAACGAAGCATTAAGTTTTTCTATTATCTTTGTTTACAATTTTCAGTTTTAAACGACTTGAACAGTCGATATCACCAGTGTTTGGAGACATGTATGCGTGAAATCCTTTCGAGAATTAAATCAGCTTTCTGCAACATAATTGCTTTGGTTTTGCTACTGTTCACTTTGCGATTGGCTTAAAACTTTGCACCATTGTCGCTACCAAAGAGTCAGAGCTTATATCAATCGTGGCTTGGTCACGCGCGTTTCCAAGCTTCAGACGAGTTTCGTCCATTTCACCTGAATTCTCGTGGGCCATTTCAAAATGTACCTTTGTGGAATGGGTTGTTGTGATGAATTTCATTTTGTTTCGGGAAACCTCATTACAAAGGGCGGGGCTCTAGGC